CTCAGTCCCGGGCTCTTGCAGCCAGGGGAGCAGGGATGGCTCAGCACAGGGAGCAGTTAGAGGCTGTGGGCAGTGTTTGTGCAGCCACAGCTCATCACAGCCCCCAGACTGCACTGTTAGGGGAGGCTGAAGGACACCAACCCAAAGGTGGGCCACTAATGGAGTCCTCTGCCTGCCCCAGCCCAGAATCAGCTGAGGGCACATGGGGAGCCTTCCCTCAAGGAGGAGAGCAGGGGGAGTGGGAAGATGTGCTGACATCTCACCTCGTTTGTTATCCCAGGGAGCCTGCAACCGACAGGGATGAGAACAGCAGCGTGGAGAGCTGCTGGCATCTCTGCAACAGTGTCACACATTTAATTTATGGTGTTAATACACATCAAGAAGTTCTGTGTCCATGGAAAAACTGTGGGGAGGGCTGACCTTTCCCAGACTTGGCTTGTTTTCTATCCTGCTTTTGGGATCATCTGGAGCTGATCAGGCTGGTAACCTAAAAAAATCAGTATTGCCTAAAAATATAGACAATCACTTTTGTTTTCAGTGGAGCAACATTTGCTGTAAGTAGAGGGTTGGGTTGTTTGAAAATAAGTTTCAGTGTTCCAGCTCCACTGTGCACCAGCCTTGCTTTTAAATTTATAACTCTCCAAAATGAAAAGTAAATGGATTGTGTTATTCCCAGCCCTTTTATAAAAGTTAACATTGCAAAAACAGATGTGAAATGTGGCCTCGCAGATTACAGCCTGAGCTTGGGGTTTTTAGGTTGGGGTTTTATTTTTTCCTTACTCTCTCTGTGCTGTGTCCCTGAGGAGCAGAAATCTGCCTTTTTCCAGCAGGAGGAAAATTGTTCTGTGTCTAAATTGCCTCCTGCCAGGCTTGTGTGGATGCTGCAGGACACGGAGCTCCAAGGAACGATAACGCCTTTACAAAACCAGGCAACTTAGCAGGGAATTTTTAATTAGGAATGTGCAGGAAGGTTCAGATTGCCTGGGAATTTGGTAATGCTCTAACACACCTCCCAGTCCTAGGCCATCCATTCCAGTGTGGCCCTGGGAGATGGTGATTAAAGGCACTGGCAAGCAGGTTATTATCTCCAGCTTCCTTCAGGAGCCAGGTGAGCACATCCTCACCTCCCACACCAGGCCTGGCTGTGATGTGATCTGGAAAAGCAGAGTCTGGGCCAGCCTGGAGCTGCCCTGCTCTCTGCAGCTCAGCAGGGGCTGAGCTGTTGGATGCTGTGTTCAGCCTGGAGAAAAGGAGCTCAGGGGGGCTCTCCTGGCTCTGCACAGCTCCTGCCAGGAGGGGACAGGCTCTGCTCCAGGGAACAGGGACAGGACAAGAAGGAACGGCCTCAGGCTGGGCAAGGGCAGGCTCAAGTTGGACAGCAGCAGGAATTTTGTAATGGAAAAGGTTGTTAATTGTTCATTCACTGCCCAAGGAGGTTTGGAGTCCCCATCCCTGCAGGTGTCCAAGGAACACCTGGAGGTGGCACTCAGTGCTGGGGACAAGGTGCGGATTGGGCACAGCTTGGACTCAATGATCCTGAAGCTCTTTTCCAACCTGAGTGATCCTGGGATTCTGGGACAAGGCTCTGGGTCACCAAAGCCTTGAAGGGGTGATTGAGGGGACAGGGAGGTGTCTGGAGGTGCTGGTGGCAGTTAAGGTCCAGCAGAGGAGTGGGGAGCCTGACTTGGGCTGCAGGACAGAGCTGGATCAGTCCTTCAGGCTTTGTTGTGTCATTTCCTGTGCTCTGGTATGTTAAAAAAAGCCCAACACCAGGAAAAAGTGACTTCTCTGGCAGAAGAGGTAAAAGGGCTCTGTCGCTTCCATAAACCTCACATACATAAATTATTGTCTTCTATTAGTCACTTAAGGGCTCAGTTGCTTAATTATTTTGATCACAGTAATCATTTATTTACAAGGTGGGGAAAAATGCCAAGCACTTCCAAGCCGAGCAGCACAGCAGGGAGGAGGCAGGGCTGCAGAAGCATTTCTTTCCTCCCCACAAGTCAAAATGCTTTTGCTTCATGGAGTTACAAGGTCCCTTTTGAGGTCCCTGCTGAGAGATGATGCTCTGATCCACAGCCTTTGGTGCTCCCCCAGGAAAGAGATTCAGCAAAACCAACTTCAGGTCCCTGTGCAGGAGAAGGATCCAGGGAGAGCTCAGAGCCCCTTCCAGAGCCTAAAGGGGCTCCAGGAGAGTTGGAAAGGGACTGGGGACAAGGCATGGAGGGACAGGACACAGGGAATGGCTTTAAACTGAAAAGAGGTAGGCTTAGATGGGATATCAGGGAGAAATCCTTCTCTGTGAGGGTGAGGAGGCCTTGGCACAGGTGCCCAAAGCAGCTGTGGCTGCCCCTGGATCCCTGGAAATGTGCAAGGTCAGGCTGATGGGGATTGGAGCAGCCTGGGACAGTGGAAGGTGTCCCTGCCATGGCACTGGATAAACTTTGAAGTCCTTCCAACCCAGACACTCCCATGAGTCTATGAGTATTTGGGGGATGAAGGGGGAAGGAGGCATCTGGTAGAGTTTAAGTGGATCTCTCTAAAACCTGTTTGCAGCCTGAAGGTATTTGGGTTTTCTCCTCAAAGCCTGTCTTCCTCCCAATCCCCAGCCCAAGAACACGCTCTCACCTCCTAAACCTCACCTTGCAGCTTCCCCTCTGTGTCTCCCACATGTTTCTGCTTAGGAATCCACCGTGCCTTCTCTGCTTCCCAGAGAAGGACAGGCAGCTCTGAGCCTTCCCTAATTCCATCAGAGCCCATCAGAAGCTCCGTGCTGCAGCTCCCGGCGGAGCGCGGGGCAGAGACCGCAGGAAACAAACGGCCACTTTGAACAAACCCCAGGGCCCCGTGCCAGGCAGGGATTCCCAGCTCTTTACAAACCACCCTCCTAATAAAGAGGTAAAATGGGAACGGGGAGAGGGGAAATATGCATTTTCTAATCACCCAGATTTAGGCCTTCAAAGGATTTATTACAACCTTTTATTTCCATGCGTGGAAAATGGAATCTTATCTCGTCAGCCGGCTGGTCCAGCTCGACTGGGTTTAGAGTAGGGAGCTCTCTAACAACCTTCAGGGCCACGCTGTGCCTGGGTGTTAAACTTGCTGGAATGCATTAAAATATGGCCCTGGGAGAGGGGGAGGTCCGTGCACTCAGCAATGATGTGATGCCTCCAGCAGCTGCTCGTGCCATCGAGCTGTGCGGGAACAACAGGAGCCACCAGGATTGGAGCGAGAAAGGAAACAACCAGCCCAGCTGTGTGCTGCCATCCCTGCTCCCAGAGCCCGCCAGCCTGGTGTACCTGGGACTGCAGAGGGATCAGGCACGAGGGGTTGGGGGAGATCAGTGCCATGAACCTTGAATTTTAATTGCTGCGGTGGGGGTGGTGTGTGCCCCTGTGCCGTGCTGGGGAGCGGTGCCGGTGACACTCCGGGTGCAGCAAGCAAAATCCTATTAAGATAACGTCACGGCCTCTCTGTTTTACTGTTTGCAAGCCAGCCATAACATCATTAAATTACACAACAGGGAGGTGCCTGCTGCCAAGGGGCTCTGCTCGAGATAAGATGTGGGTTGAGCCGCTGCCAAAATTTAAGTTGATATGACAGGAAATTTGGAGCGGGTTCAAGGCTTGATTCACACCAGACATGGCACTGTGCAGGTAAATCAGGGCAGGATTGATCCCTGGGGCTGTGCAGGTACCTGGCACCGTGGAATCCTGGGCAGGAGGGGTTTGTAGCAGACAGATTTACAGCTCTTCTTGTGTTCAGGGCTGACAAGAAGAAGCCAGAGCCTGGCAGGGTGTGCAGGTGAAGTTCAGGGAACTGTTTGCAGGTTCTTTGCTCTGCCATCCCCTCCCCAGCCTGTTTGGGGAGTGGGAAGGAGCCTGAACACCAGGACATTGCTCAGGGAAGCTGCTTGTTTTGTAATGCCACAGCTGGAACAGCAGGAAAAGGAGTCAGAAGAAAGAGCTGCATCATAAAACTCCACACAGCCTGTAAGAACCCTGAAATAAGCCTTGCTGGTCCCTCTGTGTCACACACCATGTCCCTGCCACTCTTGTCCATGGGGGCTTTGTGCCTCTTGTGCCCTTCATGCCCGCTATGCCCTTTTTTGTGCCTCTTTGTCCTCTTTTTTGGATCCTTTGTGCCCTTTGCTGCTGGAGGTGTGGAGTTTTGCTCCAGGCCCTCCAGACCTCAGGTTTCTCTCATGGATTGTCTGGACTTCAGCTCCATCTTTCAGATCTGTGGGGAGAACTCACCCAGCACCATCCCCACCTTGCCATCACTCAGCAAAATTCCTCATTGGCATTAAGGATTTTTCTTTCCTGCAGCATCTTCCAGGCAGGGAATTGATTCCCAACCAGGGCTCTGGAAGCCTGGGCTGTGTGTGCAGAGATCCCCTTGTCACCCCATCCTCCAGGACAGGACATCAGGAAGGAAATACTTTAGAATGATGCCTTGGAAGCAGTTTTCTAAGCGTTTTCCATTAGGGAAGCTTTGTTTCCATCAGAGGCTGCAGAGAGCCTGCCCTGCCCTGGGACTGCCTGGCGCTCCAGCTCTGCTATTACTGCTTTCCCTTGTGGCTCTGTTTCTGGCACTGCTGATTTTTGGGGTCCCAGACGGATCCTGGCCATTGCAGCAGCTCAAGTGACTGGGAAAGTGGCTTGGAATTCCTGTTACTGAGCTTTTCTGGATGGAGCAGTGTGTCCAGGCACATCCCACAGCACCCTTCCATCCCAGCAGTGGCTTTGCACATCTTGGCTGTGGATTTCAACCGACAGAGAATGGGTTTAGATGGCATATTGGGAAGGAATTCCTGGCTGTGGGGGTGGGGAGGCCCTGGCACAGGGTGCCCAGAGAAGCTGAGGCTGCCCCTGGATCCCTGGAAGGGCTCAGAAAGGACCATCCCTTTCCCAAGAGCATTTCCTGCACGTCTGCATGTGTGACCTCTCTCCCAGCAGCTGCAAGTTCCAGGAGGCAATCCTTGTTCTCATATAACACAGGTGCTTATTCCCAGTGCTTTGGAACATCAGAAGCACCTGGATGAGCCCTTCCACCTGAGGAGAGAAGTCCTGCAGGTGGGCAGGGTGTGCTGGAGCTTGGCCAGGGCTGGAAGAGCCCGTGGTGCGGCTCCGGCGCGTCCCCCTGCACGCTGCCTGCCATGCTGCTGGGGACAGGTGACAGGGAGCTGCACTCACTGTCTGCCTGTCCTAGGTGACCCCGGGCCTGGAGGGACAGGAGGGGGAGCTGCTGGTGAAGGGCCCCTCGGTGTTCCGTGAGTACTGGAACAGACCCAAGGAGACGGCGGATGCCTTCACGGCCGACGGATGGTTCCGAACAGGTACGGGAACAACTGCCCCAGCAGCTGGCACAGGGACAGGGACAGCAGCTCTGGGAGGGTGCACGGGGCTGGAACTGTGCACAGGGACAGGGACAGCAGCTCTGGGAGGGCGCATGGGGCTGGAACTGTGCACAGGGACAGGGACAGCAGCTCTGGGAGGGCGCATGGGGCTGGAGCTGTGCACAGGGACAGGGACAGCAGCTCTGGGAGGGTGCACGGGGCTGGAGCTGGGGCTGGCAGCTGGGAGTGCAGGCTGGATGTGCTTCCAGGAAGGGGCTTTGCCTGCGCTGGCCATGGTGAGTCACCAAGGGATGGGGGGTGTTTGGGCTCCTTTGCTCCTAAGCATTAAATATCACTGCTTAATGTTTTCCTGGGAATTCAGCCTTGCAGACAGGTGGGACTTGTCTCAATTTACACAGGGACTGTGTCACAGAATCATTAGCTACCAACTAGAACCCCCTGAGAGGAGGGTGAGGCCAGCTGGGGGTTGGGCTCTACTTCCAGGCTAGCAGTGATTTGAGGAAACAGCCTCAAGCTGTGCCAGGGGAGGCTCAGGTTGGAATCAGGAGGAATTTCATAATGGAAAGGGTTGTTCACTGGCAGGGGCTGCCCAGGGAGGGGCTGGAGTCCCCATCCCTGGAGGTGTCCAAGGAAGGCCTGGGTGTGGCACTCAGTGCTCTGGGATGGGTGACAAGGTGGGGATCAGGACCTGATGACCTTGAAGGTCTTTTCCAACCTCAGTGATTCTGGGATTCTCTGATTCCATGATACCCACAGCTCTGATTTCCCCAATCCCCTCTTTCCTGCGTGTTAGCAGTACTGTGGTGGCAGGAGTCAGGCTGGATTTCTGATGCCTTCTGTGTAACCTGATTTATTGATGGTTCCTGAAGAAGCTGTGATTTATTCTAATTGTTCTCCCGAAGCAGAGCTCACTCTGCCAGCAGTGTCACCACGAGTCCCCAAGCCAGGCGGGCACCCCGGGCTGGGACCAGAGCATCACCAGCCCTCACGTGGGGTGCAGGGCAATCAGCATTAAAAATTTTTTTTGTCAACACTCCTGATGAATATTTCAGCTGCAAAGGAATAGCGTGCATTAATTATTGCAAAGAGATGTCTTTAGGAGAAAATGATTTTGAAATTCAGTTTAATTTCATTGTAATGCGCCGCAAACAGGAAGGGAGTATGTGTGTTTAATTGGCTCTCGGGGGTAAGGCCGGGAAGATGGCATGCCTTTGTCACAGGCCATTAGTGATACAGACTGCATAATGAGGGACTACAATCAGCTCACAGCTGCCGGCTCCTACGGGGAGAGAATGATATTAAATAGAAATCAGTATAAATTAAACTTAACCCTTTCGCCAACCGAGCAAAGCTCAGAGCTGGAAACAAGGGAGGGGAGCAGTGACAGGAGTGGGGGGTTCAGGGTGGGTCAGGGGGTGCTTGGACAAGCCCCCCAGCAGCCAGGTGACCTCCCTGATGTCCCCCTTCTCACGGGCAGGAGGCTTGAGCTCCCTTCCCCATCCCTACCCCCACTCTGCCTTCCTTACCTTCCTTCCCTCTCCTGCCTCCTGCTCCATCTCTCGTGGATGTCAGGTCAGTGGGACTGGGTTTTTCCCAAGCCTCATTTATCCAGCAGTGCCAGGAGCGATCCCGTGGCCCCGTCCTCACCCTGCCTGGCCCAGCCTCATCAGCAGCCTCTGGAGATCACTCAGAGGTGGCAAATGTCCTGTGGTGGTAAAAAACCCTTGAGGGAATGAAAGGGGTTGTGTCCTGTCACAGGGATTGGATCTGGAGGGTGAATTATCCCCATTAAGCACAAATTGGTTACTCTGGAGCCAAAACCGTACTGGCAGGATCCAACAGAGGTGAATCCAGGCTGTAATTCCCTGTACCTGCTACTTCCAGCTCATCCAGGTGAGTGTTTTAGAGGTGAGGCAGAATGCCAGCGCATGGTGTCCCCAAAACCCCAGCTGTGGCTTTCTGACTCTGTGCCAGCATTCTGCTCACTGCTGACCCTTGTGCTGTCCCCACCAGTGACCTGCAGGCTGCAGGTGGTGGCCAAGTCCCTCAGGGCTGGGGTTTCACAGAACTTTGGAGTGGTTTGGATGGGAAGAGACCTTTAAGCTCATCCTGTCCCATGAACAAGGACACCATCCACTGGACCAGGCTGCTCCAAGCCCTGCCCAAAAAAAAGGGGGAAAAAACCCAGTGACTTTGGTGAATTCAAGATCATGGCTCTTCTGAGAAGCCTCTGAACTCCTGGTGGTGCAGAGGGGATGTGCTGTTGCTCCCACCCTCTTCATTCCCTGGGATTTGTGCTGCTGTCTGCCGATCCCTCCATTTCTCATTTCCATCCCAGTGAATTTGATTATTTTTATTGTATTAACGCTGTTGACAGAGCTGCTTAGATCAAAGTCCCCTCCAGCCATTTCCAGGGAGACTGCTGGGTTTCCACCTGCTGTCATACATCCAAGTGGCACCGAGCCCTCGGCGGCCGAGCCGAGCCCAAAGGAAGAACGCCCGTGGGCATCTGGCTCCTGTCCCTGCTGAGCCTGCCCAGCTGTGCCAGCCCTGCCAGGTGAGAGGCAGCCTCCAAACCCTCACGTGCTGCTGAGAGGGAGGAGAGGGAAGGAAGGCATTTTTTAGGATGAGGCCCTGGCACAGGTGCCCAGAGAAGCTGTGGCTGCCCCTGGATCCCTGGAAGTGTCCAAGGCAAGGTTTTGGAGCAACCTGGGACAGTGAAAGGTGTCCCTGCCCATGGCAGGGGGTGGTCCCTTCCAACCCAAACAGTTCCATGATCCTGTGAGCAAAATTTAAGGGACCATTAAAATTAAAGGGACCATTTAAGGTCCCTTCCAACCCCAACCATTCCATGATCCTGTGAGCAAAATCAAACCTTGGGAACTAGAGGGAAGCAGCAGAGAAACAGCAGATTCTGTGGTCATCCTGATGTCCATCCATGCATCCATCCATCCATCCATCATCCATCCCCCCATACATCCAGCCCCCCCAGCCTTGCCATGCCCACACTGGCCAGGCCCTGGCACTGCCAGGCTGTGTTATCCCTGCCCAGGAGGCAGTAAGTGCCTTTGGAAGCACGAGGAGGGTTTGGGGGCGTGGTGGGTGCCCCCCATGGTGCCCAGCACTGCCCCTTGCCCACATCTCCCTGCCTGGCCAGGGGTTTCTCCAGAGGAATCTGCCAATCCAGCCGTGCTCCCCGGGCAGGCACACGGCCCAAGAGCAGCCTGCTCCCCGAGGGAAGGGCAGCTTCCAGTCACATTTGCCCATAGATCCAGAAAATTAGAATCTGGTGTATTCAGGGAGATTTATTTTCAATTACAGGTTAAGGCTGAGACATGAAATAGCACCGGGTTTGAAAGTAGTGCATAAATCCTGCAACAAATCCATGTATCCCTGCTCCATATAATAAGATTTTATTGATTGCTATATTGTATCTGTCAGAATAAAACTCTCTTAATGCATGCATCAGGATGGAGAAGATAGAGAGCTTGTTGGGAGTAGAATCTGATTCAAGAATCAATGCACTTTGATTAATATGTCGTTAAGAAAGTAAGAGTTATTTAACTTGTTTGATGCACATTGCAGAATGATGACTCATATCTTTTAAATTTCTTTCTTTGAGCTGCATTTAAAAAAACCCCGCAACCTTGGAGCTGTTTTTCACATTGTTAAATCTTGGTTTATCAGTGAATTTTTGTTGGATCCTTTTGCCCAGGTCACAAATGCCCCTGAACCCCATTAGTAATAAATCCTATGGCCCAAAACACTTCTCATATCCTGTTGTTCAGGCTTTGGAGGGAGAACAGAGTGGACCTGGTGTTTCTTTGTTCCTTCTGGATGTTCTGCAGTGAAGGAGGAAGCTCCAGGGAAAGCAAAACAAAACAAACAAACAAAAAATGCAACAACAAAAAGTTGTTTTTCCACTGTGATTACAAATCCAAGCACCAAGGACAAGCCCTGGCTTAGCTGGGAACATCCCACTCAGCACTGAATTCCCAGCTTGCTCCAAAAATGGAACATGCTCTTGCTACAGCCATGAGTCCCAGTGCAGGGAATGATCCCAGTGACTCTGACTGGTTTCAGTGACCCCCTGATGTGTCTCTGTCATTTTCAGACTGAGCTCTCCAGTCCACAACTGACACCAGCTGCAGATCCTTGCCATTCCAGCCCTGTCTGATGCAGATTCCACAGAATCATGGAATAGTCTGGGTGAGGGAAGGACCTTTCAAGGCCATCAAGTCCAATCCCCATCACCACGAGGAGGGGCTGAGGGAGCTGGGAACGGGACAGCCAGGGGGGGAAACAAGGGACAGGACGAGATAAAATGGCCTTAGAGAAGGTTTAGGGTGGAGATGGGGGAAAATTCCTTCATGGAAAGCGCAGTGGTGGAGTCCCCATCCCTGAAAGTGTTGAAAAAACATGGATGTGACACTTGGGGACATGGTCAGGGCTGACCGTGGTGGTGGTGCAGGGCTGATGGTTGGACTTGATGATCTTAAAGATCTTTCCCAGCTAATTCCATGATTCTGTGATTTCCACCCCTTCTGGTGGGAAAGGCAAAGCCTCCTGCAGTTTCCCAGCACAGAGGAATGTGCTGTTTGTAGGAAAGGCCCTGGGCAGGTCATCCTTGGCCAGGCACAGCTCTTCCCTGCTCTGGGGCTGTGCCTAAGGAGAAGGAGCAGGATGCAGCCCCGTCCCTCTGGCACAGGCTTTTCCCAGTGCTTGGCTGTCCCCAGGGAGCAGCAGGTGTTTCCCTGCCAGGGGAATTGCTCACATCCGTGGGTGGAGCACAGACACCTGAAAGAGAAAATGCTTGAGGCTGATCAAGGCAGATTATAAATAGAAATGCATCTAATTAGCATCTTAATCTGCAGGTTTTCTGTTTGTTTGCAGTGGCTTTCCTACTCACAAATCCAGCTAATGCAAATTCTATTTTTAAAGAAATGATTCCTTAATTGTAATGTGCTGAAATTATGTGA